ACTTTCTCATTTCAAAGAAAGCTCACACATTGTTCATCATAAATCTTATCATGATAAATGTCACAAGTTATAAAAACCCAAGAACACTAATAAAAAAGCACTTGGAAATATTGGCATAGGTGATAAGAAATGGCTCAAATGACAATATGATAGTCCTTTCATAAGCAAGGTATTTCCAATGATTTGCTTTCAAACAAAAAATAAGGGATGGCCTAATCCAGTTATCAACTGATATATCATCAAAAACAACTTTTGTGGTCAATCCCCAGAACTGAGTAACATTGTTATTATAAAATTTCCATCTGTTTTACTATTTTACTCTTGAGAAAAATAAATTTCACTTAAAAAGTAGAAATGTATTGGCTTGGGATTTAGCTCAGTGGTTCTGCCACCTGCTTCACAAGTGCAAGGTACAGAGTTTGATCCCTGGTACCAAAAAAAAGTAGAAATGTATCATGTCACTCTAGAAATAAGTGACATTCACCCAGACACATAATAAAGAAGTTCTTCATCCATCACTAAATAATGAATTCTCACTTCTCATACTTAATATTTGTTGAAAATATTTTAGATATTTCTATAATTTTGATTCATTTTGCATTAATGACTTAACTTAATTCAGAAAATATACTTCAAGCTACTAGAGTATGTAAAACTAAGCCTAAAACTTTCATTTAAAATTGTACTTCTTTTTTGGTACCAGGGATGGAACTCAGGACCTCGCGCTTGCCAGACAGGCGCTGTGGCACTGAGCTACATACCCAGCCCATAGAGTTGGTTTTTTTGTTTTGTTTTGTTTTGTATTTTGGTACCAGGTATCGAACTGGGATCCTTGCACCTGCTCAGCAGGCGGCAAAACCACTGAGCTAAATCTGCGGCCCTAGAGTTTTATTTTTTAGAGAGAAGTATGATAAGTTGATCTGAAAGACTTTCAGGATTAACAATGCATTACAATAGGATAAAATATTAAGTTCAAAACAAAAAGAAACAATAAAAATTGAATACTTTGTTCCTATTTTTTTTTTTTTTTTTTTTTTTTGGTACCAGGGATCAAACTTGGGTCCTTGTGCTTGCGCAGCAGGCGGCAAAACCACTGAGCTAAATCTCCGGCCCCTTTGTTCCTATTTTCTCACATGCATGATAGATGATGCTGGGAATCAAATAGGTATGGTATTTAAATTCACTGGAAACATTTAAAAATAATACCACTATTTTACTTCAAATGTTAAAGTTTAGAACAGTAGAAATTGCATCCTTTGCTATTACTTAACTTTATGGTGAAAAAAATGTTCAATATTAGTTTTTAAGTGAAAAATTTACTTTGTTTTTCAAATTACTTTAAAGGCTACACAAACAAGAAAATTTGAGGCCTACTAACATAGTTCACTCCTATTCCCCATTTGGATCACAACAGGGTTCCGTTTTTAACTTTGGCATGTTATTATCATTATGATTATGAGTGTTTATAGGGTTATTCCACTTAGTCCAGTTACCCCAAAATACTTACATAAAAGTTATTTTAGTTGATTTTAAATTAGAAATCACTAGGGCAGAAAAACTGGGATATGTTGACCCTTTATTTTATTGCCTTTCTTAGTCTGTAATTCAAGTAATCCAAGATAGTATTCTTCAATAAAATGTTTCTTTTACAAAAGGCTATGAGTGGCCCAACTCAGGGAGAGTGAGAGAAGTGAGAATACAGAAAAGAAAAAAAAAAATCTACCACATCACTGCTAGTGTTGGAATTGGTGGCCTATAGTGGAGTTTGTTTTTTACAGAACATAATTTTTCCATTTAGGGAATTTCTGAGGCCAGAATTTAAGCATCTGGTTGGAAGGGATGGGCATGTTCCTGCTCAAATTCACGTTTTAACAGGCTCCTTGCAGGAGAAGAGTAAGGTGTGCTGCATGCTGCTTGAAAGGGCAATAAAAATCATAGGATTTAGCTTTATTCCTACCAAGTATAGGGCGTGGGTTCCTTGGCAAGTCAGACTGTTGAAAACTGTGCCGCTGAAGTGTAGGACTCCCTCCAAAGTTGCTAGGAGTTCTCTGGCAAGAGTTTCAAGACCTCAATGAGTCATTCAAACTCGAGGCTAGCATGCCAGGTGGTTCAGGAAGAATTCAAGCCAAATGGAAAATATACCTGGACTGCTGCATGATTTAAATCTGAAAGCCTAGGGGCTTAAATGACAGTTTCTGTAGGAAAATCTGGGGGAGAGGCCAGAAATAAATAGGAGGAAGGAAATACACAGGATAACTTACATGTGGTAAGATTATTATTTCTATTACATACCCCTAGTAATCCAAGTCCATGTGCTCAACTAAACGCAGAGAAACTTTGATAGTCTTCTTAGGATACACTATGTAGCCAGAAACACTGTGGATTTAATCTGGATCATGCAAGTTCTGGAGGCAAGCTCTAATGATTTAGTACCATGTGAAATATGTGTGAACAATTATCAGTATCTGTGAGCAATTACCACTCCCTTACCCTGCCCCAACTCCAAATTATTGCAGCATAGAACATACCTTAAGGACATGCAGATGCTGATATTTATGAGGGTACAAACTGCTGGGGTGGTCCTGGAATGATGAGGTTGAAGGTAGAAAATTGAGTGCAGGAGAATTGTTTCATGGCCTCCCGAACTCAAGTGGCTGTGCACACTATATCTCTGTCATGAGTACTGCAGAGCTCTCACAAGCAAATATGGCAATGTGTCCTCTGTTGCCTGTCATCACTGTAAGGACTAAAGAGGGTGCTTAGAGAGAGTTACCGCTTCCTCCTTATGGCAGTGAAAGGGAGCCCTTCCCTGTAGCGATAGCTTGGAGAGAAAGTGGGCCATCTCACTGAGGAAAAAAATCAGTGACTTTATGAAGACTTCTACTTGTTATAAATATCACTATAGTAAATTCCCAGGTGGTAGTGTATATCTCTATGCTCTTTACTTACGAATGGAAATTGAGTGTGATATTAATCTTGATTGTCAATTTTATTGAATTCAAAAATGTCTAAGGGATAGTAAAGCACATATCTGGTGTGTCTGTGGATCTTTCAAGAGACAAGTGAATCATGAGGACTCTAACTTAATCAGTGAATCCGTGCATTGGTGAGATCATAGTTTGGTGGCACTATTAGGAGGTAATGGAAACTTCTGAAGTGGGGCCTAGTTGAAGGGAGTATATCATGGGGACATGACCTGAAGGACTATACCTGATCCCTGGTGCCTTTCTCTCAAGCTACCTCCTTTTCTCTGCCTCCTACCTGCTGTAAGGTGAGCAGCTTTTTTCTGCCATGCCCTTCTGTCATGATGATCCGCCTTGGCCTTGGCCAATCATGGACTGAAACCTCTGAAGTCATGAGCCAAAATAAATCTTTTCTCTTTTAAGTTGTATATGTCAGGTATTTTTTCCTACCAACAGAAAGCTGACCAATACACTGAGGTCCTCCATTCCTTCTGCTTTGGTCATTCATACCATCTTTCTGGAGAGTACTGAGGCCTATAAGATTCTTGCACTATAATCTGCAATGGAAGGACTTTCTTGCCACCAATGCCACTTAAACATTTTTATTTCACTCTCCTTGGATCTGAAAACTTGGAATTTTAATTTCATTGGATACAATGATCTATGCCTTCAAGCTAACCTTGTATAGATTCATTTGGAAAAGATAATCAAGAAAAAGTTTTTTCAGTCCTCACCTATAAGGTGATTTGTTTTTCTTACTTTGTAACAGCACATGTACCACAAGCAGATGTTTCCTCTAGAGTGTGACCTTGATGTGAGAGGCAAGTTACAGGCACAGTTGGCTGCTCCATTCTGGCACAAGCAGCCACTTCTTCTGGGCTAAGACTTTGTGGTTGGTCACTATATAGACCCTAGCTTTCCAGCATCTGGTACATTAGACAACAGGGAGCTAGGGCTAGGGCAACTCTTGAGTCCTTTCCACAAGATCAGATGTGCTTACACTTATGTTCATTTATCAATTAAGCAATATTTTTAAGCCACTACTAAGAGAGCACATTACTTAAAACACATGAATTCCGTACTCTGGCTGCCAGGGTTTTAAGGCCACCTCTGTCACTTAGGAGAAACTCTGCAATCCTGGCAAGTTTTTAACTCCTTCAAGCCCCAGTTTATTCTTCTGTAAAAGAGGAATAGTGATAGTACCTACTTTGTAGGAGTTCATGAGGATCAAATGAGATAATGTTGTAGAAATGTTTATAAAATCAGCCCACAGTAAGAACTCGCCACTATTTTATTAGGCAAACTGGGTTTGCTAGGCTGTGATCAGAAGACAAGTTAATTTGCTTTCTTCTACCCTTTCTAATCCCATCAAGCAAACCCCGTAATGTTCTCTGTCACTCTCAGATAATAAAAAGTCCTCTGATCAATTTTGGTGCCAAGAAGAGTCTCCCTCCAGCAATTCAAATGTCTGGTCTGGTATAATAATCAAATCTGGGAACTCTATTTAATTTAGGGCTTCTCCTCACCCATCTTGCCCCTGGCCAGGACGTCCAAGTAGGAGAAAAGAGAATAGCCGGTGTTCTCTCACCCATCAAGCTGTTCCCTACTCATTCTTTAGTTCCGACTACAGACTTTTCCGAGGTCAAGGGGAAAGAAGAGTACAGGAAAAGGCATTGTCTTGTGGCAGGAATGACCAGGATTGGCCCCTAAGGCTCCCATGCTAGGCAAATGTCCAAAACTGGCTCTGTGCTGCCACAGGCACTGTCCTTTTTGGGTTTGGCGGCCTGTGTCAGATGCTGATACTTCGTGCTCCTTCCCATTCATGAAGGCCACTGTCCAGTTCGCCCAGTGCTTCTCCTCAGCCTTTCTCTCTTGTCTGGAGGTAAGCAGAAGGCCTGTCCTGTAAGGTAGGAAGTGGCCCTGGTCCCCAAAACAAAGGCAAGCAGGTCCAGGGCAAAGAGACATGAGTGAGCTGGCTCTCACTTTCAATGGGTTTTGTTAATTTTGGTGTCTGCCAATCTCTTCCCCTTCTTTTAGTGCCTTGGTTGGTGCTCAGCGAGATTTTTCCAGGTGGGATTAGAGGACGAGCCATGGCTCTAACCTCTAGCATGAACTGGGGCATTAATCTCCTCATCTCTCTCACATTTTTGACAGTAACAGGTAAGAGCTCTTTATTTTCTTCTCATGTCTTTTGTTCTCTTAGGACAAATGTTTGGGACCCATATTCTAGTAAAGAACATTTTATTGTGAAAATTTTCAAGCACACTTAGAAGTACAGAGAATGGCAAGGAATCTGATGTATCTATCACCCAACCTAAGCAATTCTCCATCTTAAAACCCCACCTGCTCTTCCCCCCACCAAATCATTTTGTGTTATGTACCCCACATGTTGTCATATATGTCTAAAATTTCAGCATGGACCTTGTACAAGATAAAACATTTTTTTTTGGTACCGGGGATTGAAGGATAAAACATTTTAAATAATAAAATCACTATATAATTAACACACCAAAAATATTAATTATCCCATAGTATACAAAATATTTATGTTCACATTTTACCGATTGTCTTATAACCACTTTTTAAAAACTTTGATTGAACCATGATCCAAATACATAATTTACAATTAATTGACAGGTCTTATTATTTATAGATTTCACCTTCATTTCCTCTACCTTTCATTCTACCTTGTACTTTTTTTTTTGATACTGGGGATCGAACTCAGGACCTTCTGCTTGCGAGGTAGATGGTAGAACCACTGAGCTAAATCCCTGGCTTGTACTTTTGATTAAAAAAAAAAACCTGGATAATGTGTTTCATAGAATTTTGTACAGTCTAGATTTTGTGGATTGTACTTATGTCACATGTCTGTCTTTGTATTCCCTGTAAGATTCTGTCCAGATCTAGACAGGCTTGAGGAAGTTCAGATTTTTCTGAGCTCTTTGCCAACTCCTCAGTGGGTGACAGCAGTGTATTCTGCCATCAAGAGCAGCGTGGGGTGAGTTGTCTCCCACTTTACCCTATTAGGCTCTTTTGATGATCAGGACCCAGACCCACTGTGTTCATTCTATCATTCCTTCCAAGTTCTTATCCAAAGTACTTCTGTGAATTTGGCTACTCTGAAGTGTGGGTCATATAAGAAGGGCAGGATAAATGCTTGTAATTTTATTTTCTTTTGGTTCTCAAAATAATGAGGTGGTTCCCTAGTATCCTCCAAAATTGTCCAATCAGTTGGGTTTTCTTTATTTCATATAATTGTGTGATTATTTAAAGGTCACACAATGTGAGTATAATAAAAAAAATCCAGACTGGAAAATTTTATGAAACAAATGGCCCAGTTCCATTTTGTACATATATTCCTCATTTATACAAATATGTACGTGTATAATGTTCAAAAGTGGATGGTTATTCAATGTATAAGTATATACATAACTATGTATATACATAACTATATGTATATATATACATAACTATATACATGTATATATTTAGTATATCACTTTGGGAATTAATTTTTCGAGTTGCTAAGTAAGTACAGTTTGTGTTTTTATATAAAATTTTCAAATGTTACAGTTTTAGAAATAGCCCAAGACTGAAGGAAACAACCAAACTGGTTATTAGCACTGACTACTTCTCCTACTTAGATCACACATATAAACATGTGCCCTTTACCTTTATGTGCACACACACACACACACACACACACACACACACACTCTTCATCTGCTGTTTGGTGTGGAGAAAGCAAAATATGAAAGAATGAAATGAGAAATGAAAAAAGATGACACAAATATTTGGGAAGCTTCGCTAATAAACTAGATGAGCTAATGAAGATTTGGAAGTTCTCCTGCATGGGCTTTTGGAACACATATTAGGAAAACAGATCCAATTTTAAAAACAGCCTGGGATGATCCAAAACCTTTAGATGACATTTAATTGGGATGTTTAAATGTCTCTACTTATTTTCAAAATTCAATTTTCTGAAGATGAGTTAGAGAGACCTAGAAGATGTGAGATTCTACTTGGCGACAAGCCCTTGGATATCAACATTTTAATGAAATTTCATCTGAAACAATAAAAGCAGACTGTTCCAGACAGACAAACATATGTTGCAGTGGGTGGCCATGGCACAGCTGCCGTACTGCATTCAGCTTTGGTAAAATATTTTTAGAGGGTTGTTCAAAACTTGTCCACCTGGATGAGGAGAGCATGTCACTTTTCTGCTATAAAGAATAGTTGAGGGAGTTCAGGGGGTTTGACTTGATCCAGAGGACTCTCAAGAAAAGGAATGAAGTGCATTAAAATATTAGACTGGCTGTCATGAAGAAGGGGTGGGAAGAGATGACTCAACATGTGTCATGCAGAGGACAGAACTGAGTATCTGAAAGGCTGATTTGGGTTCATGGTACTGGGCAGTGAAGAGCTTTGTGAAGTTGTGAGGTTTCTGTTACTAAAAGTGCTCAAACAGAACTGGGGACAAGTTTGATGAGAAAACTTTTTGAGTTTATTCAATACCTATATTCAAGCTTATGTTCCAGAGATGGAAGAAGGAACAATTCTACAAGCACTTAATGAAGCAATCTTCCAGATAAAATCTTGTACCAGCATAAGACAAGCACAGAGAGAGGAGTTTAATTAAAACTGCCAAAAGAACAGCAGTGCTCTTTTTTCTTCCTGCTCCTTCCTTTCTCAGTACAAGTCCCTCACAAGTGGTCACTATGCTTGGATCCTTGTACGCTGCACTTATACATTGCTCAGGCAGTTTTCTAGCCTGACCAACTGTGATCTGTGCCTGCAGCTGTTAAGGGCTGTTTGCAAATCTTGTGTACAGTTGCTCTGACCATGTGTGCAAAAAGAGCCAGCTACTTTCTCCCTGCTCCCCATCACACTAGTCTCTGCTGCTGAGCCAGGACCCCGCACAATGCAAATGGCAGACTCAAGTGCTTTGGGGCACATCTCATCAGCTAATGTAGCTTGATTTTGGCGAATGACTACAAAGAGACATATCTCTGGCTAGAAGTGGTCAAGTGAAAAACTAGGCTGGCAAGTGAAATCCATCACAGTCTTGAGGCTCTGCTTCTTGCCAATGCATCTTGGCAAATGGATGCCTTTCACTGGACCCATTATCCCTTTTTTCTCTGGACCCAGAAAGAAGAATTAAAATGCACTGTTGGGCTAATAAAGGTGATGAAATATTGCCATCATGAATCAATTTATTCAAATCAGAGGAAGAAGGGTGAGTTCAATCCAAGAAAAGTCCATTTGTACAAAATATATCAATAAAAACGTCCACCAAATAGAAACCAAACTGCTATAGTGACAGTTTCCAAAATGGAAACTGTGGAGGGTGAGAAATATTACCTTCTGAAGTAAAGTAATATATATTTCTGTTATTTGAGGTTCTGTTTTTGCAATAAGCATGTGCTTTTTTTATATTAATAAAAATACATTACCATTTTGAGAAAGACATGCCTACCAAGACAATGGCATTGGATTTAAACTGTGATAGTTATAAGACTGCTATTTATTTTATCTGAGAAAGTTGAAGCAGTAAAACAAAACTTCCAGGGCTGGGCACATATTTAAAGTGTGAATCCTCTTTTCCTACACACTATTGGCATGTGTGAAAATAGGTATGGCTTTTTATGCACTCTAAGAAGCATTCTTTCCAAATGAGATCAAGGTACTACACAGTACATTTCTAATCATTTTCTTTTGTCCTTTATAGATCTTATTGGCCTGCCATGGGTATGCTTTATGTATGCATTCATGAGCCTAGCATCTCTGGGTTTTGTTATTATGTTTATACCCGAGACAAAGGGATGCTCTTTGGAACAAATATCAATGGAGCTGGCAAAAGCGTAAGTATTTGTATGTGTTGGTCCTGAACAACAGTTGTTGGTCCAAAATACAACTTTTATATACAAGTAAATAATGTCTGAAATTATTTTAGGATATTCCCCTTGGGGTAAGTATGTCTCAATGCATAATTTCAGATTCTCTCCTTTGCATTTATGAGGTTTATTCAGCCAGAGGAGAGGAGAAACTATTATTTTACAACAAATGGGCCTTTTCAAACCTTATTCAGTAATGATCTCAGAATCTCTCTCCCATTTCTCTAGCTCCCCACAGAGGAGGCTTTCTTTGTTTGAAGTTTTGGAATACTGTGTTCAGCCTGGGCCAGAAGCATGTCTTCAACTCTTCCAGGTTTACAGGTCTTTGAGCCCTAGTTAAAGCTACAATTAGCAGACAAATCCTTGGGTCTACATATCCACAATTGTTTTAAATATGGCATAGTCAAGATAATGTTAAGAAACATAAAAAATTCTGACACAAACAAGCATTTAGAATACTAATTAAATAAATTTTACCTGGACAGATTTTTTTTTTAAAAAAAGCAATTTAACTTAAAAGTTGGCCATAGAAAACTTTCTTTTAGTAACAGAGCTCATAGCTCTTAACTGCCAAAATTGATGGCCTGGAGGAAGAGGTGCCAGGAATGAAGAGGAACTTGTTTTTCTTCTTGGGATTAAATTCTAACACTTGGAAACATAGGGATACTTATTCTTGAGTTTTAATATAATAGGAAGAGACAACTTTTTTTTACAGGTTGTAATTTTAAAAACATTTCAAAACACTAGAAAAAAAGGAAAAGTACAGAAATTGTGGGCATAGTGCTACAGAACTTTTATCTGAAGGAAAAGTAGACCTATAGGTGAACTGATGTGGATATATGTATGCATATATATTTATATAGACCAAACTGCTAATTCCAGTTTACTAGGGGTTGTAGTTAGTGGAATCCAAGAAAATTTTCACCTTGTGTTTTATGCACTTTTAAATGGTTGAAATTTTCAAAAATATTTAATTTTAGTAAGCAGAAAAATATCTCTCAGTTCAAACTGTAAGATAAATATCAAATTGTACAACTAAATGTTGACACAGATGGGGCCCTGTTTTTAAAAAAAATAAAATGAAATGATTCATTTATAATGAGAGTTAGAATTGTCAAGAACTCTGGATATACACTTGGCCTGATCAGCACATTGTCTGGCTTTCTGCAAGTTTCTAAATGATTACATTGTTTGATAAGTGTAGGATCTACACAAGATTATCAATTACAAATATATGATTCAAATCATTAATGACCTCAGATCTCAATTACTGGATGCATCCATCTGGAAATGGGAAACATAGCTGCCAGATTCAGGCCTTTTCCAGTGCTGAGATGTCAGGACACCAGTGACTTCCAAATCTACTGGTCTCCCTTCATTTCTCACCCTTCCCTATTCTGGTTTCATATGAGTTACCTATTGCTATGTAACAAACCATCACACATGGAGCGCTTAAATAGCAGTTTACTATTTGAAATGGTTCTATGGGTAGGCTGAGTGGTGCTTTGCTTGTTTCACTTAAACTCATTCATGGGTGACGTAGGAAGGATGGTCAGTTGAACTGGAAGGCCTGTGATCACATAGGGCTTGATCATGTATATGGCAGTTGGTGCTGGCTGTCAGTGGAGAGCTTCAATTCTCCTTCACGTGGCTTCTTATCCTTTAGGAGTTTAATATGGCTTCCTCATACACAGTGTTCCAAGGCAGTGAAGGCCAAAGCTACAAAGCCCTTCTCCACTCTGAAATTCACATATCACTTCTGCTTTCTACTGTCAGTGGACGTCCCAGGCCCAGCTTGGATTGAAGGGGTATAGAAACAAGACTTTACCTCTTGATGGGATAAAAGGCAAAGAATTTTTGACCACATCTAATCTACCATGCCTACTTTTTCTTGAAATTCTTTTAGCTCCCATGAAACAGTCTTCTTCCTTGGATCCCCTTCTATCTCTCTGACTTTTTTTTTTTTTTTTTGGTACCAGGGATCAAACTCAGGTCCTTGCACTTTCGAGGCAGGTGGCAGAACCACTGAGCTAAATCCCCAGCCCCTATCTAACTTTTATCTCTTTACTTCTCCCTCTATTCCTACACTAGTGCTATCTTCAAAGACTTAGCTCTATATCCTTATCTCTTAAGAGTCAACTCAATCCCCATTGAAGCCTAAGGAACTCAAGGCCTGGAGAGCATTTCTGTCCCTCAGATTTTCAATATTTTCTGGTCCCATTTTCTTCTGTACTTTATTAGCTAGACTCTTACAGTTAAACCTCCTTAGGTGATACATTTCTAATTTTTAGGAATGTTCCTTATTTTTCTTAAGTGATCTCTACAATGTCTAGTTTCATATTGATTCCTAGAAGACTTCTGAAAAGTATCTGCTGTTTGATATAACAACTTGTAGACGAGGTCAATGCTAAATTCACCGTGTGTGGGGATTGAATATCAACATGAAAATCCAATATCCAACATGGTGGACAATAAAAACCACACAAGTTTCGATAAATGGATCACAGGATGTGATTTACTTTATGCAATGAGAGGAGGAAAAGGTATGGGTTAAGATAAATGAGACATATTGGCCATGCAGTATTACTTTATTGCCCACTACTTCAGTTCTTTATTCAACTCTTTGCTGATTGTCTACTATGAAAGAACTGAAAATACAAAAGAAAAATAATCTATACTTGTAGCTTCCTTACTTTAGGAGGCAGACAAGAAACCAGATTATTGCAAATACTGTATTAGCACAGATATTCTCATATATATATATACTCATATATATCATGTGTGTATGTACATCATATATTCTCGTATATATACTATATATATGATAATTTTATTATATAAAGGCTTCTTGAAAGATAAAATCTCTCAAGAGCTAAATTTTAGAAGTTATCTGTATAAAGAAGGTGCCTGTGAGGAGTCAGAGGAGGATGGTCACTTACAGAGCTCAGTACATTTAATGATGTGGTGTTACCATGAACATATTTTTATCTGAGAATTGAGAGATGAGCCCAGAGCAAAGGGCAGTCAATAAAGAAAGGTCTTGTCCATCTTGGTAAGGACTTCGGATTTTATCCTGATGTGAGTGGAATTTAAAATAATAGAGCAGTAGAATTAAGTGGCCAGAGCTTCAAAGGAATGTTCTAGCAAAATATGGAGAATGGAATGAGACACTGAATAAAGGAGACCTACAAAGAGGCTGTTGGAGTAAGCAGATAGGAAAATGTAAGGCTGGATGTGGTATAGTAGTAGAATAGAACCTGAAGCTAGACTGGAAAGACAGTTGAGGGAAAGGAGGGAATTAGGATATCTCTGAAGCTTCAGAAACTAACCTTGTATATAGTAGTGACATTCACTGAAGTAAGACATGAAGGAGGACCAGGTTTGGGAAGGGGAGTCAGATGGGGTTTGGGGATGGTGATGAGAGTTCAATTTGTACAGATCACATGTGAGGTACCCTTGAGACATGCAGACAGAATGGAAAGAATCTAAGCATATAAAAGGGGTTTTAAAAATTGTGAACAACACTGTATTAGTTTTCTGTGGCTGTGAAAAAATATTTGATACTCATAACTTAAGGGAGGACTGATATATTTTGGCTCATAGTTTCAGAGGTTTCAGTCCATGGTCAGCTAACTCCAGTGCAGAAATAGCATAGTGGAAAGGGCTGGAGGAGGAAAGTGGCTCAACTCATGGTAGGCGGGAAGTAGAAAGTTAAGAGCCAAAGAAAGAGAAAAGAGCTGGGGACAAGAGTACACTCTTCTGGGTCACACTTCCAGTGACCCATCTCCTCCAACCAGGCCCTACAGCCTAACAGCACATTCACCTGCGAACCCATCAATAGATTAATTCACTGATGACCTTAGTGTCTAATGATACAGTCCCCTTCTAAAAGCTCCACTTGAAGACATGAGACTTTTCGGGAGATATCTAAACTATAACAAAAATTAACTAAAAATTGAAGCAAGATAAGAGAAATAATAAATTACCCGAATGAATTATTACTTTCTTTCAATGAATTGAATAAAATGAAGTACCTATTAACTATCATTCTCTATTGTCCCCTTTGAAAGTCTAACCTGAAAACAGAGTGTTCTGCATGATTTAAGATTAAGGAACTTTCAGATCTATTTTTCATATAGAATTGTCAGAATACATCAAATTGCAAACCAAATGAAAAATTGAAGAGAAAAAATTTTTAAATCCAGTCTTTCCATCTCATAGACTTCAAGAAAAAGACATTTCTAAAGAACATATAATTTGGGTTTCTAAAACTCAGCAAAACTTATTAATTCAGAATTTGGGGTGGGAAAAGTATCTAACTGAATAAGTTTCTTACATATAAAATGTTTTTGAAAGAATCCTATTTGTGTTACTTTCAAATCAAGTAATTACTCAAACTTAAGTCCAGGCTCTCTCCAAGAAAATTATAATTGTACATTAGGAGAAGACTGAGGCCAAAGGTATTGACCACTAGACAGTACTTTGAGGTCTGTGTCAAAGAACAAAAATATATTAGGATATTGGTGAAGAGAAATATAAAAGATAAGATGGCAAAACAATTCTGCGTTTCAAACTTAATTACAGCCAACAGCAGTACCTCCTGGGTGTGTGCTGGTAATGAGGGCCAGAAGGAAGAATGTCCTGTCAGAAATGTGGGTTAACTCCTATTTATGCAATAGTGGAGAGCAGAGGGCTTCTTACTGGGGCTGTGGGTTGGTAACAGTTTTTAGAATGAAAATATAAGCAGATTGAATTATGTAAACTGACCAAAATGGTTTCCTGGAGATAAATATCAAAGACAAAACCCCCCAAATAGTGGTACTGATAAGTTATCAAATTACCTAAGGAAACCTGAGCAGGAGGAAGCACGTGGAACTTGCTAGTACAAAGAAGCTGAAAACTGCTGCGCTAAGGGAGTCTTCAGGAATTTAGAAGTTAATAAAACAATGAATCAACTTTTGTCGCTAGGGAAGCCAGTCTCAATGGTAAAGTCCCAATGAGTTTTTCTAAGGGGTAAGAAGGGAAACCATAATATCACATTAACTTTGAATTTGATACTACACATTGTGTAATATTTTCCTCTCTCATATTTGGAGCTGGGTTCCTCTACCCTTACTGCTGCAAAGCTGAAAAAACACATATTCTTCTAAGGATGTTAAGTTCCTTATAAAATAAACAGTGACTCAGCTGAGAGGTCAGAAAAGATTCCTACAGTAATTTAATTTGATAGGATTTTTACTTTGAACATCTGCTCTGCCAGCTATGAACTCAAAATGGGACGTTTGCTGTGTTTGCTTTTTCAATTGTGATTTTATTTACCCTTTTCTCTAATCTAAGAGGAAACAGAAAAAAAATGAGCATATTTTATAAATATTTCAGTTTTGAGGTTTAAGTTATTTTCACATTTAGCAGTTAATTGGTGTGGCCATTCCTTCATTTATTCTAAACATCATTGAGCATTAAGTGCTAGGCAACGATGCCGGTGCTACTATGAAGTGCCAGGCCCAACATTATCAGCTACAAAAACTACCAGGAGAATCAAAACATGCTGATTTGCAGTAAGCGATTGGGGGCTACTTTTGACTGGGTAATTCTGAGGTTATTCTGAGAAGTAATCTTTGAGATAAAATCTGGGTAGTAACAAAGAGCCAACCCAAGAAGATCAGGGGAAAGAGAACTTGGGCAGAGAGAACAGCTAGTGCAAAGGCTAACTCAGAAACACGCTGAACCTGTTCCAGGAACTGAAGTCCAGGAGGTCACCACCCATGAGTTAAGTTAGAAAGTAGGTAGAGACCAGTGTGTAGGGCTTCTCGGGCTGAGTGCAGAGTTTGGTCTTCATTCTAATTGCAATGGGATGCTACCAAAGGACTTTCGACTGAGAAGTTACATGGCAGGATTTACATTTTAAGGCCTGCCCAAGCGAGCACCTGCAGCAACCTAGTGAAGGAGGCTGGGGATGCATGCAAACAGTGGTGGATCCTGCTTTGGCAATGACCACTGGCCTTAGGTGGCCCTCATTGGTGCTTGGCCATCACATATTTACTCAGCCCATTAAATTGGCCATCACATATTTACCCAGCCCATTAAATCTGCCTCTGTCCCAAGTGGCAGCTCCATAATCACCTCTCTCTGGAAACCTTATCTTCACTCCCCACTGTTCGCTTTGCTTCTGACTTCACCAAAAAGGGGGTCATAATCAGGAGGGAACTTTACCACTCCCTGTGTCAACCCATGCATCAGTGTGTGTATCTACTACCATTCTTCATCCCCAAAGGTTCTTCAGATCAACTCTGTCATTCCTGAGAGACCAATTGCTTCATGCCCTCTCCCTTCTCTAGCACATTCTCTAAGACTTTTCCCTACTCACCCCTGCACATCATCTGTATTTTCACCACTCTATTCATCAGAACAGAAACCTGCTGTGATTCTTGACCTATTTTTAAAGTCTTTTGGTACCATTTCTCCTTTCCAGCCTCTGTCTTGTTTCTTCTAAACAGCTGTTGATATTCAATCATCAATTTGCTCCACATATTTTCTCAAGAGCCTGCTCCAATGAGACATGGCCACCACCTTCCTGAGCTGTCTGTAACACCCCAATGTCTTCCATATTCCCAAACCCAGTGGTCAATTCTCATTCCTCACCTTAGACCATATTAGTGACTATTCTCAGCACTTTACTGAGGAACATTCTTCCCAAAACAGTTGCTTTACTGCCTTTTACTTGATTTACCTCTTCTCATTACTTTTATATCTTTTGAGGGCAGAGACATTTTGTATATATTGCCCATTGTTGTTTGCCAGCACCCAAAACAATCTCTTGGCAAAAAAATTGGAGCTTATTGTTGAGTGAATGAATGAATGAGTTGAACACAGGAGTAAAGCAATGGAGTAGTCAGGATGACACCTAGAATTTTAGCTTGGGAAAGTGGATGGACAGCGGGATAAAGAAATCTGAAAGAAGGCCAGGGATTTAGCTCAGTGGTTCCGGCGCCTGCCTTGCAAGTGCAAGGTTCTGAGTTCGATCCCCAGTACAAAAAAAAGAAAAAAAGAAAAAAATCTGAAAGAGGTCATTTCAGGGTGCAGGAAATGGTGTTCTGTTTGGGACATACTAGAGATGTCTACTTGACATCAAATAGAGATCTATGACTAGTGAGGTGGACATGTCAGCTTAAAATTCTGGAGACCCTTTGCATTAGTCAAATGTGGGAGGCCATCAGCTTTTAAGTGATATTTAAATTGTAGAACCAGATGAGACCATCTAATCAGAAGCACAGGACACATTATGTCAACAGTTAGAGAATAAGCAGAGAAGGAGTATCAGAAAGGACAAGAAAGGAACAAGCATCCAGACTGGACAAAAAGCCAGAATATGATGCAATATCATCATAAAATATGATGAAATGTGAAAAGTAAAAATTTATTACAGTAAAAGACACATTGGCATTAATACACCTCAGAACTCCCCCCCCACCCCCACCCCCTTTGCTTTGAACATTATCTCATTGTTCTTGTTGCCTTCTGGAGCAGTTCTGGAAGTCCTCTTTGGAGTCTTTAGTTGTGCTGTTGTGGCTGCCTTCATGTCCTGAATCTACTGAAAGTGTGGACTTCAGGGAAGAGCCAGAAGTTACCCGGTGCCAGATCCAGTCAACAACGTGTGTGAGAGCACAGTGTAATGTTTTGACAGAAATTAGTGCAAACATACACGGTAAACTGATTCAGAAAGTGGCAAGAATGATGGGATAAATGTGTTCAAGGCAGGGAGTATTCTGAGGGGGATTAACGCCAATGTCTCTTACTGTAATTTTTTTTTAACCATTCAGCCTATTTTTTTTTTTTAAATCACACCATATACAGTATTGCTGAAGCCGAAAGATATAGATGATCAGACTGGATAGGCCAAGTACAAATTGCAATTAGGTCTTTAGAAATGTCCTGCATTCTACTGCAGTTCCCTGGTGAGGCAGCTTTCCTACTTTGCAAGATGACTGTCACATCTGTTTGCTCTCTTCAAGCCTTTAACACTGCCTATGTTCCCTGTCAGTGCCTTTATTCATGGAACAAACATAAACAGAGACCACTTCGTCTGCCATGAGCTCTACTCATCTACCCATGTCTGTACTCACCACCTACTCTTTGGTGCAAAGATCAGTGCTTCCACTTGTGCACTGACTGACCCTCAATTTCCCGTCTATGGGATTATAACCCCACCACCACCACCACATACACATACCCCATCTGCATGCCCGTGTCTAGAGCTGCAATTTCCCATCCTAAAACTACCTTCCTAGACTTCAAATTTCTTTAGGAACCAAACCAGTTCCCTGCCCCCTTTGGAGTTCTCTGGAATTCTTCATCAGATGTTCTCCTGAACTTCATCCCAGTTTCTAAATGTGTCACCTCTTTAGAGATGCCACCTGTATGATATAATCCCTCCCCACAACTAAAACATTCTTTCTCTCTTTTCCTGATTACATGTCTCACTGGCACTTCTGTTAATTCTATGCTTCTATGTGCTTGTTTCCTTTGAAAATGTAAGCTCTCTGAAAGCAGGAATGTTTATCCACTCCATCCATACCACTGACCATGGCACAGCAATTCCATTCACTCGTTCATTATAGAAAAAAATCTGAAAAGGAAGGTTCAAAGACAATCCCTCTTTTTAATAAAAGTAAAATATTTTTATGCTGTTGGGAATAATACTACAGAATTTATTGATGCATGTGATGAGATAATGCAGAAGGCAAGATATACAGATATAAATATAGGCGTATTGGTAGAATCTGAGAAATGGAAGCAAATGAAATGATTTCAGATGAAATCTTTACTAGTTCTCTGTATGCCATACTACCCTTGGAATCTTAACCTGCAGAGGACTGATTGGGTTCTGAGAAGACATCCCACCTTTCCCTTTGCATGAGATTCACGAAGATCTGTAGTATACACTGAATTCCACCCTACATCAAAGCTTCACAATGAAAATGTTTTTGCATAGCTACATTAAAACCCCAGGGTAATTAAAAAATAATAGCCTGCACATTTTTTTTCAAGTAGAATAAACTAAGAATGACATTTTCATTAGTGCTTCTTTCTCTTTCAGGAACTATGTGAAAAACAACATTTGTTTTATGAGTCATCACCAAAAAGAATTAGTGCCAACACAGCTTCAAAAAAGCAAACCCCAAGAAAAGCTTCTGAAGTGCAAAAAGCTGTGTGGAAGCGGAAAACCAAAGCAGCTTTCTCCAGAGACCTAAGGCCTCAAATCATTACGAAGGTTAATATGAATGTTTGCAGGGTCTTTGTACCTGTGCATATTTGCCACTCCCATGCTTTCTGTTCAGTGTCATGACACTGTTTTAAGAAAGACACCCTGATATTATAATGACAACCGCTAATCCCTTCTTTAAAGGTTGATGAGGAACAATGTCCTGAGCAACTCTTACTTATTCAGAGTACAATAGCAGGATTAAAAAAAAACAAAAATAAAAACTGGCTGATTCAGTACTTTCTTTTAGCACAGCCACCTTTGAAAGAGTAAGTCCTAGTGATGAGATCTATCTTGGCCTTAAACGGCTATATGAACCCAGTCACTTTTATTATTTAGACACAGGTGTTCTGCACACAAGCTTACAGTTTTTGCCTACTAAAACACTATCTGGACTGGGACTTGTACAAAAAAGAACTGGGACACAAGGCGGACAACTTAATTGCACATCCATTCTAGATTAGGATAGGGTCCTGGCTAGGATTTTAGTGTTAATTCCTAGTTACAGTTCCACAAGGATTATGCAACTTAATTTACAAAGTAAAATTTAATGCAAAATATATTACTTTTATGGATTTTAATCGTATAAAGTATTAAACAATTCTGTAATACTTGAGAAAAATAAGCATTTTTTGTCTTTTTTAATGGTTAGAAAGATAAATTTGAAAATCCTGGGACCATATTTATTTAGAAGTAGCTGTGAGTAAACTGTCAGAGAAGGAGTCAGGCCATAGATTATTTATCCAAATTTCTAAGCAATTAGGTTTAAGTTATTAAATCAAATCTAAAAAATTCTCTCCCTGGAAAGCTTTCATGATGAGTTACAGTAATCACAGTTTCCTGCAGTTCTTCCTACTCTTCAGGAATTATCTCTACCTCAGGTTATGGCAGACAAGACTATAATTGATGCTGACTTTCAGATGAATTTAGACATAATAAATAAATGACATTCAGACATCTGGACAATTCACTACCCATGTTCTTAATAGAAAGTCCATAAAAAAGAATCTTGAAACAGTGAAATAGTAACCTATTCCATTACTGGTGGATTCTTTTTTTTTTTTTTCCGGTACCGGGGATCGAACTCAGGTCCTTGCGCTTGCTGGACAGGCGGTGGAACCACTGAGCTAAATTCCTGGCCCACCTATTAGATTACTAATGCAAACTGTGGAAGACAACACAAAAACTTAAAGTACAACCAACTTAACATTAAAAAAAATTTTTTAAATATGATTAAACAGAAGAAAAAAGAATTCTAGGCGCCAAATCCCTTATTTAGCTTGGCATTTTTCCCCCTCTGTCCCCTAACAAACTATCCCAGTTTTATATAAGGAAACAGTCCACTACTGTACATTCCCTTATAACAGACTGGATAGACTATAAACCGATGTAAGCAGTAGTAAAATGATAATATCAAAGACTCAGGAGACTAAAAGTCCTGCTTTTGAAAGTCCTGGTTTTGAACATTTTTATTATCCAAATTAACATTGGCAAGATGGTAAAAGGAGATTTGAGATCTTGATTCTGTCACAGTACATTTTGTATGCAAGTTAGAACACGTATTATGTTTTATTTTGGGAAAAGAAAGGAAGGTGTGTTCTACAAAGAATCAATTTAACTTATAGGGATCTTTGGTGGAATTATACGCCAAAGTTTTTTTTTAAAACTCAAGACTGGTTTATCAGTATGAACTTTTTCTTTTTTGGTAAGCATCACACAGATTGTAATATATTTAACAAAGTTGCTCCATGATTCTTTTCAATTTCAAACAATATATACTTTACCTATTTCTTGGTTTGGCTATTCATTGTAAATGCACAAAAAAATAAACCTAGCTGGTTTATTATTGACTTCAGCTTCAGTATCTTCAACATTCTTTCATGTATTTTTTTTATCCTACATGTATAACAATTTTGTCTTCAAAATAATTTTTCCCAATTCCCATCCCTCCCCCACACCAAATGAAGCTTATTTGCAAAAAAGAGGAGAAAGCTTATAATTTGTATGTATATATTCACAGTTTTTATTTATTAAAAAAAATTTACAGTACTTGTGGAAAGCCAGCAGAAGACATCAAACACACTCACATCTTCCCAGCTTTGTTCTGTTTAGAGGATTACCCACGGACACAATCAGGGGTGCTCACACCGTGGCTGGATCTAGCCTGTCAGACTGTCTTTTCTCCCCTCTCAGATAAAGCATGTCCATGAGCTACTGACCAGTTTTCAAATCATCTGAATACTGAAAATGTTACATCATCTGGATCTGTACTTTGGATATATAATTATATTTTCCCCTATTCTATATATATATATTTTGTGTGTGTATGTGGGAACACTGCAAAACAGGAGTTCACCTTATTACTGTCAATTAAAACTAAGTGGAAAAATCTCAAAGTTTTAAGTCTGCCTATAACTTTTATCTATTTTTATTCTCTGTATTTATGAGTTTAGCTCTCCTACTGATCTTAAAAATAAAGCAAATAAACACAAAATGTAAAAAAAAAATCAAAGTTTAAAAGTCACATTTAAATCTTTCACAAGAAAGTATAAAAGTCAGCCTTTACCTCCTACTTTTGAAGGACAGGCAGGCAGGGTAGGGGAAGGCTTTCAGAAGAAGACGAAAAGAAACAAAATAATATGTACTGTTCAGTGCAGTGCTTAAGTTAGATTTTCAACATTTTATACTCTGGTAAGGAAAATGTTCTAAATACAGAGGTTCAAATGTTTCAAGCTTTTACTTTTCAAGACATTTTGGTAATTCAGGTTTTCACGGAAGATTGTATTGGAATACTGTCTCTTTTAAGTTTTTACCGAGAAGCTAATCTGACTCTACACAGGCTGCATTTCTAGGTGAAGTCACTGGTTTACACCTAGAAACTCCTACACACAAGTAGTAGACCACAACTCCTGCTTGCTCCTCTGTTACTCCTCAGGGCTCCCGCAGGAGGACAATGCTCATTGATGTGTATTTACTATAAACAGTAAACGTAGTGATCCCATACAATGAGTAGTCATTTTTAGCTCCATTAAATAAGACACAGCAAGGGGAAACATATATCCTGAAAAATGGCTTTCAAGTTCAAGTTGAACTATATTATAATTACACTGTGGCACAGAGGCTGCTTGTGGGCACTTCTTGTTAAAACAGCACAATGTCATCAACTTCTCATGAGATCTTCGTATAGCCTTGAGCACCAACCTAGGATTAATCAGTTAAGAACCTCAATCACTTCCCTCCAACTCTAGCTGAGTCTTTCCAGAATAACAAAGGTATGATAAACACAACCTATCACAGCTTCTTTCTCACATCCATTGAGTGGGTAAGAGGTTTCTCTTTTTAGAACTACAATTTCTAAACTTTTAAAAGTTATTTAACATTTTCTATCATATTAAATTAGCAACATAAAACATTATCTTTTATCTATAAAGTTCTATCCCAGTTCCCTAGAGCTTATACACATATTTTTATTTCTAATCTGCAAGAAAAAAATTTCTATGATATTTGGTAACAGACCATGAAAAGATACTATACACATGTAGCATATAGATATATACAAAATACACTTCAAAAAGAAGCCAACACACTTTAGCCAAAGTCTAATCTTGCATAGATTAAAAAAAAGAACTATGAATACAATTTTTGTTAAAATAGAAAATGGGGAGTAAAAGTTATAGAATGGATATGAAGAGAAATCTTTTTCCAAACTTTTATTTGTGCACATTCAATTGAAAAGATAACTTTTACAGGTTCTTTGGTGCCCATATTCAGCATACAAAAATGTAAAAGACTATTCACAAATTAAACACATTAGCTCAAACTGGAAAAAATAACAATGAAAACAATAAAACAATTTAAGGTAGTGCACATTGTGACAGCTCTGCTTATGGGGACATGAGAATTACTGCGAAAATAAATAGACTGTCCTCTTGTAAAAGCAGCAATGTCATGTCTTGTAAACTTCCTTTTTTATATTACACCAAAGACTGAAATAAAATCCAAAGGGACTGGTGCTTACACTGTAGCCGTGAGTGAATAAAAGAGTCTATTTCCTCAATTACTGTTGGTCCAGTTTTCCTTCTGAGTCCAATGTGTCACAGGTTTTAAAAGGTGCTCAGTTAGAGATTCTAACCAATTTAAGCGATGAGTTATAAAATTTCTTTCCTGCTTTCAAACACAAATGGGTAAATCTGTTCCACAGCGGTAGCCACAGCCTTTACATTGGGCCCTGTAACAAACAGGAAGAAGGAGTGAGAAGGGCTAAGAAGGGTAGCACTAGGAAAAACAGCTTTCCCAGAGTTAAAAACATTCACCTGGCTTAGAATACCAAGTTGACTGGTTACAAAGAAGAGAAAAAACTAAAAACTACAAGAAATTTTCTTCAACACAATTTTGTCTAAGACTGGACCTGACTCTCAAGCAGTGCTTCTGTACAATTTATAATCATATTTTCTTTAAAAATCATCCTACACACTGATACCACCCTTTAATATGCTAACCTAGTCTTCTGTAACCACCCCTTCCAAATTCTTAATGATTCAAAAAATATAACAAAACACACATAACAAATAGATGCCAATTCTATCTGAACATCTTAAGGAAAAATCTTTGTAAAGTTTATAAAATTGGTTTCTCTTGGTTATTTTAAATACAAAGTATCATAACTTTATATAATCATTACTATGGAGTCATATGTAAAAAAAAATTCCTTTTTGCAGTTTTAGACATTGAACTCTGGGCCTCTGCAATGAGCTACATCCCCAACACCTTTTATTATTTTTAATTTTGAGACAGGGCCTCATTAAGCTGCCCAAGCTAGGCTTGAACTTACAGTTCTCCTGCCTTGGCCTACCAGAGTACAGCACTGAGATTACAGGTGTGCACAACCACGCCTGGATATATCAGAATATTTTTAATAGTTCCAAACTATTGGAACTGGGAAAGCTGTTTTTTTAACTACTCAAATGCCCATCGAGAGTTCATTCACACTGGATACTATATAGCAATGAGAGTGAATGACCTACACACAAGAATATGGATGAATCTCACAAGATAACCAAGAATGAAAGAAGACAGAGACAAAAATAGCACATTATATTATACATAAGAAATACAAGTAGTACATAAGCAGGCAAAACTAATCTATAGTGCGAAAAGTCAAAGGACTTACTCTTCGTCAAGGGCGTAAGTAACTGAAGGGGACAATGTAGACATTATTTCTATCTTGGTATGGGCATGTCTTATATCACTAAGCCCGTAACTGACAAGTTTGGTTTCAGTAACACAGATTACCTGTTACTGTGATACTTCCTGTTGAAAAAATCTGTAATGTAGCTCTTAGGGATTTTATCCGATAGCATACAGCAGGATGAAGTTCAGGTTCATAACTATATTAAAAAGTCACAATTAATATAAATATTTACAGCCTGACTGGTAATTTCAAATCTGGTAAGTCATCTTGATTCTCAACGACCTACCTGGCATGAGGTCTATTGTTCTTTGTGAATTCTGGCAAACGGATTTCAAAGGGCATATTACAAACAGCCAAAACGTTAACAACCTTAAAATCTGTAAATATTACCTTTAGGAGAGAAGTAAAGCTTAATGAATTATTTTGAAATAAAAAATTTGCTCGTCACGGCAATCCTTATTAAGTTTCAATCCTTTAAATAGAACCAAACAAGATGAAACACTCTCTTATTCACAGATCTAGTAATGTAAAGCTAAAATATGAAAAGTTTAGTATGAAAAGCTAAAATCCAATGAAAAAAAAAAACCTGAAAAACTTCATTAAAAATAGTAAAAAGAGGTATTTTCATGATGAGAAATGTACTTGTCATCTGGATTTCTGAGTCTTACGCAGAGTTTAATTTTAATACTTTAAGTGGGATATATAAAAATTGCCAAGAAAGAAGGAAGAATTGAGAGGTGGAAAAAAAATCAAAACAGGGTTCTCCTAGAAAAGTTGAACAGGAAAAGTTGTCACTCTAAAAAGTCAATTAAAGAGTGTACATTGTGCTCCAAAGGTCAGATGTTTTCTTATATCAGTAAGGCGAAAATAATGTTCTCTTAACAATAATAACTTTAGCCATTCCAACCAACATCTTGCATTATTTTATCTCCTTATCTTTTCTAACATTTCTCCCACAACCAGAATTCTGGATGAGCTGTCTTCCAACTCAGTACTTGCACAAAGCAGTAGAAAGCCAAAGTACCAAGTAATACCACACACATCACATCACAGCTACAACTCAAGGCTCTTTCTACTCCCACTCTCCTCAAGTGCCAAGACCAGCAAGTTCAGTTCCTTCTACTTCCGAGACTGAAGTCATCTGAGACAAACTTAACTTCCCTTCACTAATCCCACAGTTTACACAAATCCCAAAGAGTTTGGTCTACCTCTTCAAGGACCAAATTTCAACTTTCACTTCAGTTTGCAAGTGACATAGCAAGTCCACCATAACAATTTATTCAAAGATTTGCTGAACAAAAACATTTGAAAAGACTGACTTGTCAGTGATAGTCACTTTCCACATGTAAGAACTTGCCACTCAGCATGTCTAAAACTCATCTTTCAAGGATCAAATCTTATCTTTCTCTTTCACTCAACATTTGCAAGTGACTTAGCAAATCCATCATAACAGTTTCATTCAAAGATTTGCTGAACAACATTTTTGAAAAGGCTGCCTTGCCCGTGACAGTCACTGTACACATGAGAGCTTGCTATTCAACACGTCCATGTCAACAGTGCTCATCACACTCAACATTCTGACCTAGCATTTTTGAAATAATAAAGAACTTTTTTTGAAAAGGCATTTAATGTGAAAAGAATCAAATTTATTTATGGGAAAGAAATTTGAGGAAAAGCCAAGATCTTTTATAAATACCCACATGGCCAAGTTTTGCTATTGAATTTTCACACTGTAAAGCCAGAAACCTCAGAAAAAGAAGAATCAGAAGAATTCCTATGGTGGTTTCTTTAGTCTATTAAATTAAAATTTTTAATTTTACAAAAATAAATCCTTGAATATTTGTAGTTCAAATTCTGAAAATGTTACCTGAAAACCTAGTTTCTGCAGACTGCGGGCTAAACGTCTGGCACCGAATTTAGCTTCTTCTTCACTATGTTTTAAAATAAGAGAAAGATTATCAGTTACAAAGGAAGTAAATTTTATACTGAGAAACACAGCAAACATTACATATAACTTTACTTTCAGTCTAAGAAATGTCTTTTCTGTGGGGAGAAAAGGAAAAAATAAAAATTAAAAATTCAGGTAACTTTACCTTGTTGCTCCAGTGCAAATAATTTTTCCTGAGGACCAAATTGTAGCTGTAATTCTAGGTTTTCTAAGCTTCATTAATACTTTCTGGGAAA